CAAGGAGTACCATCCTTCTTAGGTGCTAGTGGAAAGGCTGTCCTTGGAGTACACTCCGGAGAGCTATGATGTTATGACCAACAACTGCAATAACTTCACTAATGATGTGTCGATGTTCCTACTACACAAGGGTATTCCACAAGACATATTAGACTTACCCCACCGGCTCATGAGTAGTGGTCTGGCTAGGATACTCAGGTATAAGCCTTCTAACATCACAGTAGGCCCTAGCGTAGGCCTTGTAGACCCTTCCTTAATCATTGGCTTGGTGGCTTCGGTGATGATGGTGTATCCAATGAGGAGAACCTTCTACACAGCCTAGCTGATAAGCTAGCATCTGGTGACCTATCTGCCGTCAACACTATGGTACGACTCAAGGCCTCGTGGCCGCCATGTTATCACGACTCTATCATCAGGTTCATTACTCACCACAGGAGGCTGGTGGTTCACCACAGATTGTACAGATAACTGCAGTGAATAGGAAAAAGAAAACTGCTACTGTCAGACGTTTCGAGTAGACTTCTGCATATACGCAGGATTCCGCCCCCTCCCCCCCACCTGGCAGTTCTTCAGGAACGGTGACTTCACTATTATACGAGATGTTCAGTTCATGAAACTATCTCCTATTGATTCCTATACCCACGAGCATGCTTACTTTGCAGCCCTTGCAGTGTTATTGGGGTACGCTGACCAGTTGAAGGAAGAGGAGGAAATGAAGCATATGCAGCAGGTAGCCGTGTTGGTACTTCCAGCTTGAGCAGGATGACTCAGATGCGACGAAGGCTCACCGATGCACTACTGGATGCATCTCTAAGAGAGGATAGCCCATTACTCGTTAGTAAGAAGTATCCTCATCGGCCCCCCGATGACCGTTCACAATGGTTGTCTAGATGCCTCCTTCAACACTGGAGAGCAGAGCACTCACGCAATCATCCGGAGTAAGAAGGCTCCAGTCCAAGCAGCGAGTAGCCCCGCCTCCTGCTGTGGGTTATTGTTCTCCGCTCGACGAGCTCATCAGGCATCGTAGATCTGTGCATGCCAATGTAGACCTTGAATGCTTGTATCAGCCGGTCACCAGTCCTTGTGTTATTTTATGTGGATGTGTTGGGCTCTTGCAGTACTTTACTGATCAAGATGGGCTCTCCTTAGTATTACTTTTAAGCATGACAGCAACACCTAGTGGAGCTGGAGT